TTTAAGTGGGAGAACTTGCACAATTGGTGGCTGACTAAATATTTTTTTGCCCCACTGTATCCTCACAATTAGATAGCCACTCACTCATAATATACAGAAAGTTCTGTAATATTTGCTGAAATAATATATAACTGCCCATTCTTATTCCCAGATTTTGTCCAATATGCATGGCAACTGAAATGAACACTTTAAAAATATAAGGTGAAATCCTAAAATTAACAAACCACAGAGGCAGGCTAGTTGATGGTATAATTGCAGTACAAGCATATTAGAGGAATATTAGAAGACCCTTAATAATCTGCTTGAGCTCTCCATCAAAATTTTGAAAAGCCTATTCTGAGGACTAATCTAACTCTCAGAGATAGATAGAAGAGAAATATCCCAATTTAAAATAATCTGTTAACAATAATGAGAACACTACAAAGAATCGCATAAAGGTATTAATTGATTACTAGATCCATATATCATGCTAAGCCATTATATACTTAAACATGGTTTCCTTGATATGCCATAATTGGGTGGGTTCACACATCAAACAAAATAACTTATGACTTAATGCAAAGTGTTAATAGCCAATTACAGAAGTACAAAAAAAGGCAAATACTGTGTTTGCACTAAAGTTTATTTTATTTAAGTGTGCACTGTGATTCTGGATATATTATGCCAGTATATGAAATGAATAATTTTAAATGACTAAAATATGAAAAAAAACTGGATATACATCTGATAAAAGACTCTCCAATAGAGAATAGCTAGAAATTTTGATTGTTGGATTCCAGCATATCTGGAGAAAACTAAATGAGAATATTTATATTACTGTTTCCATTTTTTTTTAATATACTCCCATTTTAGGTAACCATTTCAGGGAATCTCTCTTTTCAATAGAATAATTTTAGCCAGTTTTGAATAAAATGAACTTTTTCAATATCCAGAGGGTGATCTCTGAATTGTAAATGGTCATCTCTTGTTTCTTTTGCTACTACAACCAACATCTAGGAGGTGGGGAGAAACAACCTCTCTGTAAAACAACCTCTGTAAAACAGATTTTGGAGTACTGGGTAGCAAGTTCAAGACTTTACACAGAGAAACCAAAATGTGGCTTAGAATTACACTAATTTGGAACATAGTTCCAAATTATGAGAAAAATAGTTTAATGTATTCAGCACAAATTATATCCTCTCAGTGAAACCAATTCTCAGAGAGGTAGAAGACTCTTCATCACTGAATGTTTTCAAGTGGAGACAAGACAACCATCTGTTAGGGATGCTTTAATTTGGATTCCTGCACAGAGCAGGGAGTTGGACTTGATACCCTGGATTGTTCTTCCAGATCTATTATTCTATAAATATAAGCATTATTACACCAGAATTGGTACCATGATCAAATAGGACTCAAGCCAGATTTAGATCAAAGAACAATATTTTGGAACTAGATGTTAGAAGCATGAATCTGGAATCAAAATCCAACTAAAATATTTAATGAGGACAGTTCCTCTACAATAGCTTACCTTATACCAAAGCTCATCCCTGACAAATATCTTTACAGAGTAACTTTAAAAAAAAAAACAGCTCTAAGAAATTCTCCAGTCTTTAGGTATTGAACTTTGTTTTAGAATAGTAGCTGACTAGCACTGGCATGGAAACAGCATGCAATTAAGTGCTCAAAACTCCAAAGCAATTTGAAAATTATAGGTGTAATATAACTAAGAATGCAGTAAGAATATTTTAGAGAAATAAATTATACTAATTTGAAATATGGAGCAGCCCAAGACTGAAAACCTTTAACTATCCAAAGCTTCCCTGTAGTGTACTTTCAAAAACTGGCTTTAGCCCAAATCAGAATCCATTATTTTAGCCCTCTAGACTGATCCAGATCCTCGACAAGCAAGCATTCCAAAGCAGATGTAACCAGAAGAGGACACTCTACATCTATGGAAGCAACAAGCTATTATTCCGTTCACTGAGGAAGTACCTTTTGCATCTCCAGTCCCTTAAGTTATAAATATTTCTACTTGACAAGTTATTTCATACCCTCAACCCTTAAGTGTGCTGGGAATTTAGAGAACACCATTTAGTGAACAAACACCACAGCCAGGCAAGTACTGATAACATTCCAAATAAAGCAATTTAGCTCCACCTCCACAGGTTTGTGTGCCCAATTCCTTAAGGCGTCTAATGTTCTGGACTGATCACACACACCTTTGAAAAGGGGCCACACCTACAATGTCTAAAAGATCTTTTGTAACAAATGGGGAAGATGAGCATAAGATCTGGGAAATACCTTGGCTTTAAAGAAAACAAAAGTGATGAGATCAGAAGCTGATGGTAACTGAATTATTGGTTAATATTGTAGATTCCAGGCATACTTAATCAATATATAGGGAAAAAAAACTCTATTTGATGTTCAAAAATAACCAATTACGAATGAAGCTCCACTGCATCTCTTACCACCTGTCCATTTAATGTCTGTATGACAATCCCCCCCAGCCTTAAAGTAAGGGAAGAAAAAGCACAGCTGTGCCACAAATAGTTCTTTTTGTCCCAGTTTCAATAGAAAAACCAACCTTCCCTATGCAAACTTCCCAGAAATCTTCTGTCAAGGATGTTCTTTTATTAAAACAACTGGCCAACCTCACACCCCCCCCCAACTGGCAACGATCTAGCACACACTGACCTGCTTCTCCATTCACCTCTCTGCCCTCAGTGCGACAGCACACCAGACCTCTAGTATCACCAGCTCACTACCTGTAACTTGACATTCCCTCTATCCACCACCCTCATAAGCACCCAGGCGTGCACCCCGGTAGCATTAAGGCTGTTTTGCCCATCAAGTTTTTCAGACGAAGCACATTTCCCGACCCAGGGACATTTCCCAATCTCAGCCCCTAATGAAATACTTCACCGTTGGGAGACCTGAAAGAACAGATCAGGGATGGATCATCATGGAGAAAATCTATCTATGTGGTCGCTAGGAGTCGAATCCGACCTGAAGGCACACAATCAATGAAATACGCATAAAAAGAACTGTAATAGTTTCCCCCACCTTTACCCTACCTCCCAAATCACTGCTCTTTGTGTTACACTTTTAATAGTCCAGAAGCAGTTTACAGGAACCTTTTCTCCCCACACCAGGGCAAATCTCCAATTCCAGTCCCCAGGAAACCCTTTCCCCACCTCCCCCCCTTCAGGAAGACTTCACGTTAATGCCTGGCACCTCTCTGGCAAATGTCTACCTCCATCCTTTAAGGAATACCTCCCCACACATCCCACTTGGCCGCGCCGCTCCCTCCCCTGTGTCTTTTTCGCCTTCTCACGCCACCTTTTTCTAAGTCCACTTCGCCTCGCCCCCTCCCCAGCCCATGACCCCTAACCTCCAGGGGAAAACAGGTCAAATGTCAAGCGCCCCTGCCTCCATCAAAGGTCTCCGTTCTCCTTTCTCCCAAAACAATGTCCCGCAAAAGGCCTCATCTCTCCGGCCCTCCCAGATAGCTCACTTCAGATTTCGGTGCCTGCTCACTTACCCACGGCGCCCCCCCCCTTCTTGGCTCCGGAGCCTCCAATCCGGAAACAGCCGTATGCCCGCCCGGCGGCCATACAAAATGGCGATGAGGCGCACTCCTTCGGTCAATGCGCACGCGCAAAATAACCCCGCCCTCTTCCGCTCGGTCGCTTGAAAACGGAAGAACGTAGGGCTAAGCGATAGCCATGATAAGGAGGTCAAAGCTGAATGGGAGGGGCTGAGGAAAGAGCATCGCTTAATTACATACTGTTAGCAGGACGCTGACGCGTCCAGTGTTATTTATTTTGCGCGTTTTGTTACTGTATTTTTATCTATGTCTCACCAGAGGGGATGAAAACAACAAGCGTAAGAAGCGTTGCCTACATACTGCAGGGTGCTTAATTTATACGCACGTCCCGCAGAATTAAGTAGTTTGGGTCTTGAACTCATCAAAAATCAA